ACACCACCAGGAGTAGCAATTTGCTAGATGGGTGGCCTAAAAATCAAACAATTAAGCCCGAAAAGCAGGGTGACAGGCAAGGTTCCCTCTAAGGGGCAGGAGGGCTCAGGGCTGCCCCACCCTCCGCACAGCATTCCTCTTCCTCCCCGTACCCACAGCAAGTATTCCTAGACCCTTTCTCCCCTGGGAATCTCCGGGATCCTTCGAGATGGAGTCTCTGAGTCCGTTCAGCGGAACCTTGCAGCTAAGTCGCCATAAATGGCGCCGTCAGGATCTTCCGTCTGGGGGAGAGATTTCCTCAAAGAGGAGGGTTGCTCGACGCTCCTCCTGAATTCTCTCAGCACCCCATCCTCCGCGCACCCACAGCAAGTATTTCCAGCCCCTTGGGTTCCACTGGTGGTCGAACCCCATGCGGTGGTGGTGGCGGCGGTGGAGGAGGAGTTGTGTGAGAGAGCCGTGGAGCCCTGAAAATGTGAAAACAACATTTTGAGGGATCATGGGCGACGGGTCGTTGAAAAGGATGCAAATCCATTTGTTTGGGGTACGGTGGACGACGCGACTCATGTTAGAAGACGCCCTCCCCACCTCCGTGGATCATCCCAAGCCTATCTTTCACCATAACGTTCGGATGCTTTCGTGTGTGTTGGCGCCGCTCTCTTGACCTTGATGCAGAACGGCAGTGGGCCCTCCGTACGGAGTTCCCTGCTCAGCCCCTCAATGAGAAAACCTTAATTGCTGGATAGAAAACATGCTGACATCAGTTCAGTGCCGCTGCTTCTGCAGTAAGGTCAAGCCGGCTTGCATGTATGTCTGGGGGCAGGCGGCAGCGTGTCAGGACAGGAAGCAAACAGGCAAGATCAAATCTTCTACTGGAGTTGCACAACACAAATACGTTTGTTTTCATTTCTGTTGTACACCACCCAGACTAGCAATTTGCTAGGTGAATGGTAGATAACTGAATGAATAAATAAATGCATTGACTTTGGGCTTAGATAAAGCACCTTCTTCCCAGTATCTAGCAAGAGTATTGGAATGGAAATGTCTTCACTTTGTTTTATGGTTAGAATGACCTGCCAAGTGAAGGGTTGAAGCGATACCTGAAGAGCAGCCAGTTGGTGGTGGGTTTGCATGGGCAGTGTTTAATTTGTAGGGAAAGAGGCCAAGTCGGGCTGTTCCTATCTGATCTCAAAGTCCTTTTCCCTAATGATTAGAAACGGCGGAGAGCTGTCCTGACTCAATCCCCGAGGCAGGATGACTCACTGTAGTTCATTGCTGGTGTAAGAAAGGCATTCTTACAGAGATGTTCCTGGCCAAACGTTTCTGCAAAAGCAAACGTCAGGGCTGAATCCTGCAGAGATCGTGGCATAATGGAACGCCGCAGGCGGGGTGGGCTTTGCTGCTCAACACCGAAAGCCCATAGGGTTCCCTTGCCAGAAGCTGTCCTTGCCAGCAGCTACCCCAGCTGTCCGGTCGTGGCTGATTCTGTGCCAGCAAAGACTGAAGCAACATTTGGAACGGCCAAGACCTTCAGCTGGAGTCCTTCTAGCAAGACTTCCCACATCTCCTCGGTGGCATTCACTGCTGTGTGTGCGACGGGTCCTCGTGCTTTTATCATTTCACTGCCTCACAAGCAGCAGCCAGTAGAGAGGAGATGTCGGTGGGGCAACTTGAAAGGAGACGGTCTTTGCTCAGGCACATCCTAGTTAGAGCTTTCGGTTCAGGGCCGGGGAGAAAACATCCGGCTGCTGTTTTCAATGCCAGCCATGCTTTTTCTGTGGCATTTGTGTTCCAGCCAGAATTTGCCGTACCCAGGAAATAAGGAGTGCCTTTTAGGTTTTTGTGGTGTGATTAATTAGAAACTAACACAAGTGTCTGTCGAAACAGTTTGAAGGGAACCTAGAGGCAGCTCCCCAGAACCTCAAATTTAACAACTCCTGGACTGCAGTCTGAATTGCTGCATCAGGAAAGGCTACCTCTTCCTCCTCCAGGCTCTTTTATAAGAAGTAGGTGTTTGAAATACCATTGTTGTTCTTTTTGTAACTGAGTCGATGATCACCGCATGGCTTCATTGGAACGTTTGCCTTGGGGAGGTTGTCACATCTGAGTCTTGATGATGTCGTTGGGGTCTGGGGAGGCGGGAGGAGGTGATGGGCATTTAAAACATTGTTTTGGACATCAAGGTGGTAGGCGTAGGCGTGGCAAAGGTCCTGGGCCCAAGGGAGTCAGAACAGCAGGGTGCCAACGTCCTCTGTGCAAAAAGCACTGGATGTTTCAATGCAAAATCTAAGCTCCTGCTTAATCCTTTAACAGAAAGAAACCACTGTCTCATGTTTGTCCTATCTTTAACATTGGGTATTCAAAGAGTTGCAGAGGTTTTACCATAGAACCTTTAAGTGATGTCCCCCAGTCTGTGGCTGGCAACTGGTTCCGTCCGCCAGAGCCCTCCTAGTCTGGCAGTTGGTGATCAGTGAGAGGCACTCCGGGTGTCCGGTGCCGGGTTTGTGGGAGGTGGACTGGAGGAGGCACCCCAAATGGGTGTAAGCTGTGGAAGCAAGAACAGGCCAGGCTGGCTTTCAGGCCTTGCAATGAGGAACAGAGAGGCAAAGGCTGGCCTTTGGCGCCTGCAGTGAGATTGGTGCCCTTGCATTTCACTGCGTCCACCGTTCTCTTCCAAGGCAAAATAAAACGGTAGAGGCCGAGACACACGAGGCTCGTGCAGTTGCTTCCTTGGACTGCTCTCTGACTGCTTGGTTGCACATGAGGATGGCATCGACAGGCCCAGGCAATTTTAGGTCAGAGTTGGCGAGCAAGTGGCCTGCCTGATGATGTGGGACTGCAAATCCCATAATCCCTCATTGTCGTCTGAGCTGACGAGAGCCAATGGAAACAGTGGCCCAGGGGCATCTCCGTTGGAAAGTGATGTGCTTCTCAGCCCTGCTCCCTGTCTGTTACCCCTCACAGGGGTTCTGCTCTTTATAGAGAAATAAATGTCTCCTGCTTGTTTGACCTTTCAGTATTTTAAGTAACTTGGGATAGTCATATTTTTTCCTTACGGTCATTGGTTAAAGGAGGCCAAATCGGGTAGTAGGCTTGTCATGGTGAATAACATCACCTTTAGTCAACAGGGCATGGTACTTCCCTTTACCTGCTCGTTCTTTTTATAATGGGCAGAGAGAGGTACCCAGTGGAGAGCTTTTCATCTCTGTGGTCCTTCTAATAATAAGCACAAGAAAGCTGAGGCAAGGGATGTACTGGTCTGTGCTTCCTCTAAAACAGTGGTTCTTAACCTTTGTTACTCGGATGCTTTTGAACTGCAACTCCCAGAAACCCCAGTCAGGACAGCTGGTGGTGAAGGCTTCTGGGAGTTGCAGTCCAAAACTCCTGAGTAACCCAAGGTTAAGAACCAGTGCTCTAAAACATATGCTCACAACTACTGTGCTATACAGATTCACACTACCATCTATTCCCACCAGGTGACTTTGCACGTTAAATTTATTTAAAGATGGTGTATTAGATATGGTAGTTTACATATAGGTGTGTTGTCAATTACACAACCAATTGTAGGTGGTGTAATGTTCAAAAGTGGTATCTGTAATTTTTTAACAAAAGACCTTAGAGAGGGAGAAGGGTGGAGGAGGAAAGAGAGTCGAGAGAGAGATAGTGTGTGTGTATTAAATGCTCTCCTGCAGAAATTATGACAGGCACCCTCCCTCCACATATGGTAGTGCCTTGAGTTACAAACTTAATCCATTCGAGAAGATGGTCATAACTGAAAGCATAATTTCCCATAGGAATTGATTGAAACGCAGTTGATCTGTTCAGGCCCATTTTGGTTGTATTTCAAGGTGCTGGTCGCAAGTCAAAGCATTAGTTCCCATAAGAACATGCTAAAAATACACTGCAAGACCCATCACAGCATAGAAACATGACACCACCACCCCCAAACCCACGCTGTAAAACTCACCCAGAACAGGCAGTTTTTAAAAAGCAAAAAGCTGTACTGTACTTTACCAGGCAGTCTGAAGCCGCCTCCAAATGCACACTCTCTAACCCATAGGTCGGGGAACAGGGGTAAATTACCCCAAAATGGGTAAAAGTGAAAAGCCTCTTTGCCAGCCAACAGTTAGCAGTTCAAATTTCCCCGCCTTCTTTCCTGTCGTAACTCGAAGCTCCGGTTGCAAGTCAGAGCAAAATTTTTGTGGCCGGAGCTGGTCCTAACTCAAACTGGTCACAAGTCAAGACGTTCATAAGTTGAGGCACCGCTGTATTCAGAAGCCTCCTAAAAACAGAACTATTCAGAGAAGCTTTTTGGGAGACTCTCCCCAAATATCTTGAGACATTGGAGGAAGAAAGAGAAGAATAATGCAGGATTGTAGAGTGTTCTGGAAATTGTTTCACTGTCTATTTTAGGTTATGATTTACATTTGGGATAGTTTATTATTTACATTATTGTATAATAGGCATTTAATTTGCTGTACACTGCCCAGAGTAGCAATTTGCTAGATGGGCAGTATATAAATTGGGCAGTATATAAATTGAATGAATGAATGAATGAATGAATGAATGAATGAATGAATGAATGAATGAATGAATGAATGAATGAATGAATGAATGAATGATAGATAGATAGATAGATAGATAGATAGATAGATAGATAGATAGATAGATAGATAGATAGATAGATAGATAGATAGATAGATAGATAGATAGATAGATAGATAGATGCCTGTTTTAGATATACATGCATGCAACTTAATATCCTGTTGATATTCACCATGTGCAGAGCTACCATCATGGAAGTAGTTGCAGCTGCTGTTCGTATGGTACTGGCACCTTGCCAGATAGGCGCTTCGCTCATTGTAGATCCATGCAGGTTAAATACCAACAGGATGCTGGCCTGACATTACAAGCCATATTTGCTTTGTGTTGTTTGACAGTTCTCAAGCGCAGACAAAACAGAAATGCCTTCTGCCACACAAGAAACAAAAGTATGATCTGCCATGCTGGTGAAATATTTATCTGAGACAGCACATGGCCCTTTCTTCCTATTGTACCTTAAAGTAACCCTCAAGAAGGTAACCGTAGCTTACCTTCTTTATTTTGCAGCTGGGCATATGGAAGGGTGACTGGCCCAGGATTAGTCAGGGACCTGTTCTGATGTCTGACACTGTTTTCAAGCATTGTGTTTGATTTTTTTTCCAGGTTTGGAAAAAACCCTGGCCTTCCTGGCTTTGCAGTCCGTTGAACTTGGCGGAGCGCTAACCCGTTGTCATGTCGAAGCTCAAGTGCTCGGAGTCGGTCAGGGTTGTGGTGCGATGCCGGCCAATGAACAGCAAGGAGAAGGCCGCCTCCTACGAACAGGTGGTTGGTGTAGATGTCAAGTTGGGGCAGGTGTCGGTGAAGAACCCCAAGGGGGCTTCTCACGAACTGCCAAAAACGTTCACTTTTGATGCCGTTTACGACTGGAATTCCAAACAGTTTGAACTGTACGACGAGACGTTCCGGCCTTTGGTGGACTCTGTGCTGCAGGGGTTCAATGGGACCATCTTTGCCTACGGACAGACTGGGACAGGGAAAACCTACACGATGGAAGGGGTGCGTGGGGACCCTGAAAAACGAGGGGTTATCCCCAATTCCTTTGACCACATCTTCACCCATATCTCCCGATCCCAGAACCAGCAGTATCTTGTAAGGGCTTCTTATTTGGAGATCTACCAGGAGGAAATCAGAGACTTGTTGTCAAAAGATCAGTCCAAACGACTGGAACTGAAAGAGAGACCAGACACGGGAGTGTATGTCAAAGATTTGTCATCTTTCGTCACAAAAAGCGTCAAAGAAATAGAGCATGTTATGAATGTAGGGAACCAGAACCGTTCGGTGGGAGCGACCAACATGAATGAGCACAGCTCCCGTTCCCATGCCATTTTCGTCATCACGATTGAATGCAGCGAGGTGGGGCTTGACGGAGAGAACCACATACGTGTCGGGAAACTCAATCTTGTGGACCTTGCCGGCAGTGAGCGCCAGTCTAAAACCGGAGCCCAGGGGGAGAGGTTGAAAGAAGCAACCAAAATCAACCTGTCTCTCTCTGCTCTCGGCAACGTCATTTCGGCCCTCGTAGACGGCAAAAGCACTCATATTCCCTATCGGGACTCAAAGTTAACCAGGCTGCTTCAGGATTCGTTAGGGGGCAACGCCAAGACGGTGATGGTCGCCAACATCGGCCCTGCCTCCTATAATGTAGACGAGACCCTCACCACTCTGCGATACGCCAACCGGGCCAAGAACATCAAGAACAAACCCAGAGTGAATGAAGATCCCAAGGATGCCTTGCTGCGGGAATTCCAAGAGGAAATTGCTCGGCTCAAGGCACAGCTGGAAAAGCGGTCCGTTGGGAAGCGGAAGAAGAAGGACAGGAGGAGGGACGGGGGCGCAGGCGGGGAGGACGACGACGACGATGAAGAAGATGGCGAAGATGGGGAGGAAGACGCGGCTGACAAAGATGACTACTGGATGCAGCAACAAGAGAAGCTGGAGATAGAGAAGAAGGCGATCCTCGAGGATCACAGCTTGGTGGCCGAGGAGAAGATGCGGTTGCTGAAGGAGAAGGAGAAGAAGATGGAAGATCTGAAACGCGAGAAAGAAGCAGCTGAAAAGCTGAGCGCCAAAATCAAGGTACGAGGTTTTCAGGCACATGTTGCTTTCTCACCGTCCGAGAAACTGAGGGAGCAAAGCAGGTTCCCAGGGGATGTCCTGTGTTCCAAATTAAAAATGCAAGGCACATGAAAGAAGCTGAAACAGAAAATGTTCCCCCATTTGGGCTTAGAACTGGTGGCCCTGACATTCCCATTTAGAGGTTTCCCTTTCCCAGTTACTCTCGGCTGGAATACTGCAACTCAGCTGTTGTGATCTGCTGCCAGTTCCTTGCGTTGTGCTGGGATTCTGCCCTCTTTTTTTTTTTTATCTGTCGTCGACACAGATGACCAAAGTGTCCCTGTCAACTTCATGAGATCCGTGTGGAACCTGTCCTGGTTTTGGTACAGGCCAATCAGTTATGTTGAGTTAAGAAAGAAGAATAGGTCCTTCTTCCTTTCCGTTTAAGGGGATTCTTAGTAGAAGGGGCAGATTAAAAAAGAGGAAGCTCTGTGGGTGTTGACCTGAGAGTAGTGATTAGATGACGGAGCTTAGCAGTAACGCTTTACAAAATGGCTGGTTCCTTGTAATTGTTTCCTTGTTATACTAATAAGGGCCCATTATGTTACCTTCCAATTGTCACTTGATGAATAATAGCTTTATTCTGATTTATTTATGTAGTGATGAGGATGTAGCCCTCCATTTATGATGGAGAAGTCATCATGCTCTCTTTGTGAATCCATACCCTGCCTCCTGTTGTTCCTTTACTCTCTTCTCTGGGAGTTGAGCACCTGCTGAAGCCCACGAGAGGAAAGCAATGTATGTTTTTGTGCGGTTGGCAGAATTTATCTATGTGTGTTTTTAAAGCTCCAAAGAAGTGCTAATTTTGGCGAAGGCTTTCACAACCGGGATCTAGTGGTTGTTGTGGGTTTTTCGGGCTCTTTGGCCATGTTCTGAAGGTTGTTCTTCCTAACGTTTCGCCAGTCTCTGTGGCCATGGGCATCTTCAGAGGACAGGAGTAGCCGGCCACAGAGACTGGCGAAACGTTAGGAAGAACTGTGACAAACCCAGACCTACTGGGATCTGCCACACATTAACTAAGCTGCCACCAACCATTCCCTGTAAGAAGTCACACAGACCAGGGATGGATTTTTAAACAATAAAAGAATAAGGTTTATTTACATACAACACACAGGGATAATAAAATGATTAGGTGAATAAAACAAAGTAACGTGGCTTATTCTCACTCATACAAGCATACAGTTTGGTTCACCCAGAACCTTTAACTTGAAGCACAGACCCTGAACCTATCAGTTCTGGCTAACCAACAGACACCTGAACCTATCAGGTTGGTACTCTGACACACAGAAGTACCCTGTCTGACACACAGACTCCCACAACAGCTTCTTCTTCCCAGCTGCTGCTTCGTCACAACCCAGTGTCTCTCAGTGTCTGTCTCAGCATCTCCCAGTGTGTGTTCTCTCACCACACAGGCATCACATATTTATACAGTACAGCCCCTCCTCCTGATGTCCCGCCTTCCACTCCCCATAGGATGGAACTTTCCCTCCAAACCCATGACAGACAGGTAACATCAGTGCTGGATGTAACAAAACATCAGTGTCTTGTCCCTTCCTTTGCTTTGTTTCATGGGCGACGGGGGTGGGTGGGTGTCTTTCTGCCTTGGGAACACTCTTTTTCTTGTCTGTGCATAAAGTCAAGGTATCAAACTTTTAAAAGAGCAGCAACAAAAGCACTGTTATTTCAGAAAACAGTGAGATTTTTCCCCCTCCCAGGTTTTAGAAGGGAGTGGTAGTAGACATTATTGCTGGAGACTGATTTTTATCAGATGTACGTACCCTAAAAGAAATGAAACTTTTCCTAGCTGAAGCTTTACTGAAAGGAGAGCTCAGAAGGAGCGCAAGACAGAAAAGGAAATGGCTTTGTGTTATTTCCTTCTTTTTTAAAACACTCATTTTTCCCTCCGAGGCAGTTCCCGATATGATTAACAAACAGGAGCCACAGGCATCTGGTTCTGATATTATCAAGGGATGAAAAGAAAGCAGAAAAGCAACCACAGGAGTGAAATAAGGCCTTTTTGAATGGCTATTTTCTACCTGCTGAAATCTTTGGGGATCTATGTAGACACTTCGCAACCTGATATATGATATGTCAGATTGCTGTCTTCATGAGGACTTCTTGAGCATTTACTTTCTGTGTGTTTCCTTTCATTTTAAAACAATTTTATGTCTGACATCTTTTATTGCCAGCAGGCAAGGCAGAGAAATCAGAAGACTTTCAATAGATCTGCCCCAATGTTAGTATTCAACCTTAAAAATATTTCCCCTTCTTCCTGTAATGGTAATATAAGTAAACCCAGGAAAGTCCCCCCCCCCAACTGACACCAAGACTGCAGAGAAGCTTCTTCTGACTCTCCTCTACAGTCCCTGAGAGTTTGGTGAAAATTCTGTTTCTCCAAGTGAGCTGTTAAAGGGTACTTTCCTGGGGGGAAGCCCACTTTGTGGGTGTATAACCTGGATGTCTGAAATCCAATCTTAACCAAAATTAAAGGGATTGTACAGG